GAAAGTTCACTGGTTTTGGGGGATAAACTGTCCTTGAGAAATAAATTAGATTTAGGAGATCAGATAACTAAAGAGGATGTGATAATTTTGGAAAAAGCTTCAAAAGAATTGGATAAAGCTTTAAAAGATTTGGATAAAGATTCAAAAGATTTGGATAAAGATTCAAAAGATAAATATAGAAAACTTTTTGAAGAAACTGCTCATAAACTACTGAATTTAAAAGCTAAAAAAGTTTTGGAGGAAACAGTAGATCAACTCTTAACCTTGAAACGTAAAAGAGTACTGTTGATATTGGGTAGTGGGGGAACGGGGAAATCAACATTTAACCGCTACCTTGCTCGTAAGCTATGGTATGAATTTGATGAACAAAAAGTAACGCAGCCACCTATTCCTTTATTTATCGCACTAGCGCCACTTGAAGGGCTGATAAATCAAAATCAGGATTTTATTGAAGCTTATTTACTGAAAGAGGGCAAACTACTCCCAGATCAAATTGATAGTTTACGGGAAAGGAAATTTGTATTTATTTTAGATGGTTATGATGAGATTGTTGGACGTGAACGTGATTGCTATAACAGCAATATGTTCTCTAGATGGAAAAATGCGAAGATTATCATCAGTTGTCGACCAGAATACTTAGGCGAAGGTTATGAAAAAAAATTCTGGCCTAAAGAAAACGAAAGAAAAGGGTTCCAGGAATTGACAATTACCCCATTTTCGCAGGTTGAAATAGAACAGTATATCAACAATTATGTTGATTATTTCCAGAAGAATGGTGATCCATTAACGTGGGACGCCGACAAATATATACGACAAATAAATAACATGCCGCAAGTACAAGATCTTGCGTCTAATCCTATTCTATTAAAAATTACTTTAAATGTTTTACCAAGCATTATCGAAGAAAAAGAGACTTCTCAGATAAATCGTATAGCTTTGTATGACGAATTTATTAAGAAATGGTTTGAACGTGCTCAGATTCGCCTGTCAAACATTCAATTAAAGTCTGATGAAAAAGATGAGTTTGGAAGTTTGGATGAAGATGGTTTTTATGAACATTGTCTACATTTTGGTAAAAAATTTGCTGCTAAGATGTTTGAGGACAATAACAAAGTAGTTGTAAGCTATGATCCAGTAAAGAACGGCGCATCCAATTGGGTGGAGTTTTTAGGAAAAAAAGTGAAATGTCGTTTGTTGCGCTTCAGCATGCCATTAATTCGACGTGGAGATCAATATTGGTTTTTTCCATAAATCATTACGAGATTATTTGATTGCTTGTGAGTTGATAGATTCATTCGAAAATACGTCAGAAACAACATTCTTCAACAAGCAGTCGATTATGCCAGAACCTGCAATCCAGCAATTTATAGTTGAACGAATTCAACAAAAGCCAGAGATCAAACAACAGATGTTAAGTTTTATTGAATGTTCGAAAAAGAATGAAAATATTCAAATTGCTTCCGTTAATGCCATTACAGTTATTATGCTTGCCAAAATACCACTTCCTCTTTAGTTATCTGATCTCCTAAATCTAATTTATTTCTCAAGGACAGTTTATCCCCCAAAACCAGTGAACTTTC